ACAGGCCCATTCAATCGATCAACACACAGACGCCTGTTGACTGAAATCCGGCTGAGAAGCTCACCTTTTGCTTAGTAGCTCAATGTGACGCCTACATCAGTGAGTTCAAGAGAGCCAATGATTGGATCTTCGGATACTCGTAAGGTGGAGCTTGAAGATTCTCCGCACTGGCCAGCTGGGGTCAATTGAACAACCACACTCGGGTCCTGTATATTTGTCTTGGATACGCCGCATATACCTATGGCTTGAGATTCCAGGGTTTTGGGGAGCGATGCTTGATGTTAGGTTCGGCATAGAGTTTGGATGTCGAAAGCTCCTACATGAAATCGATGGTGTGGTCCTAGAAGGAAGACTAGGAATGAGGTGTCGATGGTTTTGATCGTTGGCAATGGTTTCAGAGTGAGACATTGGGTGAAAAGTAGGATGCTTAATATTAGTACCAGGAGGTGATAATGAAGGAGGAAACAAAGTTGAGGATCATAGGTTATGTTTGATTGGGTTTCGTGTACTACAGGAAGTGTGCGAGCGGTTGACATATCCCAGCTGCCTACACCGTGGAAGTCTATCTCTTCTGTACCTGGGAGAGAAAAAGACATATGTAACTGCAGAGGCCATGGTATAGCTTCTTGATGCCTGTCACATGGGGCCTTTTGCGGGACGTTGTTTTGAGGTTTGGTTGTTGTAACGCTGGCTAGGAGAAACTATACCATAGGCACCCGAAGATCTAACGGAGGATGGAGTGTTATTTTTGGGGCTGATCTTTTCGAATCCCTTTTCCCACAAGTAAGGCAGCATCAAGGTTGCACTACTGGTCAGTCAGGGGAAACATCTTACTACTGTCACACCCCATCCACCTAGTAGGACAACTTCGTCCTCGGACCCTAAGCATAGTGTAGTAATTTATACCACAGCGGTAACTGCTTTTCATCATATCACTATCGAGCAGAGCTTTCTGGAATGGTAGGACCTCGAGGTAACAAGGGTTACACTAGCATAGCTGGTTAGGTCATTATATGATATGCAAACGCGATCACCATGTCAAGGTAGCATCTATCGGTCGGGAACAATGTTTGTGTAAACAAAGGTAGCAATATTGTATGTTAGAACGGGTAAGCACTAGCGAAATATGATGATCACGATATGGCTGACACGTTATCATTCAGATACTGGGTTCATATTTATTGGTTGACACCTTGATCTCAACCGTACTCAAGGTTATGGGTGCGCACAGTTAAGGAAGCCCGAACGAGAACGGAACAGTCAACTGGTTCTTAAACTGTAGCCTGTTTCGGATAGAAACTGCATTGAAATTTTTAAAAAAAGAGACGTAGGAGAAAATGTTTCAGTTTTTATTGAATACTTTTACAGAGTCGATGCAGTGATCACACTCACATCAGTGATTCAATATCACCATTAGACGCTGGTGACACTGTGTAACGGTTCAATCTGTCACACCTAGCATTTGCACATCAAGATACAAGATACCAAGATGTAAGATAGAGAAATATAGAAAAAAATGTAATCGGAATTCCTAGAAAGTCATAAGAAGACAGGATAGTGCTAGTAATAAAACAAATAGGAAGACAGAAAAACAGACAAAATCAATATAAAACCTCGCACACAAGTATATCTGTTGTAGTTGCCCCACTTCATAGTAATATATAAAGAAAAAGTGGACAAAGGCGTTTCGGAGGGGATAGAATCGAAGAAATAGATATCACAGAGTGAATACATCTACACCAATGTGATAGATTTTCAACCATGTCACCAAGGGTCCTTTCGTCCCGGGGACCCTAACCAGACAGTCCACATCTCGCTACATGACTCAAATCAACAGTAAAAGACTTCATCGACTGATTCCAGGTTGTTAAAATAATTAGGTAGTGTCTGAAGACCAAACTATTTAGACATTTTTTTTCGAAGTCTATCAATCAACGGTATAATCGAATACTCTTATAAAGCATTTCGCTAACCTTTAGACATTAGTTTCCCAACTAAAATTTTAATAACTCTAATCATAACTTAGAAAACAAAAAATATTTCAGGTTGAAACATAAAATGCATCCAAAACATTCAATAAAATAGATCTTTTTTTTCTCAAGATTTTGCCTAAATCGAAGGTTATGTTGAAAATCTATTGTTTTCAGTGTATTTCTGTAACTGTCAATTAATTCAAGCATATTGCATTCAATGTAGATATTGATCAAGCTCAAATATGAACGAACAAGTGGACAAGATTGAAACTGTAAAATATATCTCAACTTTCTGAGACAACAAGAAGCCCAATTTAATCTCATATATAATATAATAAAACTTTCAATAAATCCTATTGAGGATAAAAAAAGTCTTGATAGACAAGTATTTTCATTTGATACAGAAGGTGCTTTCAACAAAAAGGAATACTGATGAGTGTCTTCAAGTAGGAAACTGAGAAACAAAACTTCTGTAGATTCATTCCTGAAACGAAATACAGAATACGTCGCTAGCGTTCTACATCAATTAAGTGGTAAGATTGTGAAATTGATGTATAGACTTCACTCTATACTAAAACCTTGAAAAGCTACATGGCTTAATAAATAAAGATATCAACAAATAGTACAAAGAATATGAGTATGAAAATTCTTTATCGACAGATATGTTTACTGTTTAGTTTGTTTAACGTCACCGATTGGATCTTCACAGGCAATTGCATGAATGTATAATGGCTCTGGAGTATGAATAATACCGAATATATCTGATGTAACAAACACTGGACAAAGAAGTGACGAAGAGTGCGCGCAAAGACAGAAGAAACTTCTACGATACTTTGGCAAGTGAAGCAGAACAGGCTGCTGGTAGGAGAGATCTGATAACACTATATCAAATAACCAGGTTACTATCCGGGAAGAGATCAATGCAGACGAAACCAATGAAAGATAGTGAAGGAAACTTAGCTACCAAAGAGGAGAAACAAAGGAAACAGTCGGTTGATTAATTCAAAAGGCTCTTGAATAGACCACCACCACCTGCAACTCGTCCAAAAATACCATCAGCAACCCCATGATTACCAGAGAACACAGGTCCTTCGACAAAAGCAGAAGTCCTGAGTCCTATAAAACTGTTGAAATCCGGCAAAGCAGCAAGACCAGATGGAATTACGCCAGAAGCACTGAAAACGGACGCAGGGACAACAGCAGACATGCTCACAACACTACTACAGAAGGTTTGCAAGGAAGGGAAGCTACCTGACTGGAAGAAGTTTTACCTTTTCAAGCTCCCACAGAAGGCAGACCTAAGCCTTTACAAGAACTGGCAAGGAATCATGCTCCTGTCCAGCCCAAACAAAATATTAGGCCACATCATCCTGGAGAGACTAAACGATGCGCTGGATTCAAAACTACGATCCGAACAAGCTGGCTGGATTCAGGAAGAACAAATCATGTGCGGACCAAATTGCAACACTACGCACCATCATAGAACAGAGCATAGAATGGCCATCAACTCTCTACCTCAACTTCATCGACTCTGAAAAGGTCTTCGACACCGTCGATTGAGAGGTAATTTGGCAGCTGCTTCAACACTATGGCATTAGTGCCACAACCATTTAGCGAGGTCATTCAACAGCTATATGAAAAGGCGACATACCAAGTGATCTACAATGGAAAGCTCAGTGACGCCTTTCAAGTGAAGACAGGAGTAAGACAAGGCTGTCTACTATCACCTATGATATTCATGATTGTGGTCGACTGGATCACTCAGCAAACAGTGAGGAGCGAGAAGGTGGGCATACACTGTCTGGACCGATGAAAAGAGCCTAGAAGATTTGAATTTCGCCACCAATGATGATTTATGTCTGATGTCTTGTGGCATAAACTCGAAGATCTACAGGCGAAAACTAACAAGTTGATAGAGCAGGCGAGGCAGCGAACATGCGAATTCCTTCAGGTGAACGTAGAGAAGACGGAGGTGATGAAGATACCCAACCAATACCACCACCACCACCAACAACAACAAACTCCAACCACCATCAACGGGAGAAACTTAAAGGAAGTAGCCTCTTTCACCTATCTAGAAAGCTTCGTCTTCAACTACAGACAGCATAGACGAGAATGTCAAAACCAGCCAAGATAGGAAAGATAGCAAGACAGGATCTCATTAATCTGAAATAATCATTGTGGAGATCAACTGCACTCAGCATAAAACATGAACAACATCCAGATGTTCAACACAAACGTCAATCAAGTCAGTGCTGCTTCATGATGATTCAGAAACTTGGCGTGTCACGAAAAGCATTCACATTCATCAACAGCTGACGCCCACGCTCGCTCGATACTGAAGACCAGATGGCCAGAAGGAATAAGAAAAAGCAACAAGGAACTCTGGCTGGCTGACTGGCAACAAACCAACCAAAAACCTATCACCCAACGTGTATGCTGAAGAAAGTGAAGATGGATTGGATTGAGCATACAGTGAGAAGACCGACTGGGGACATCATGCGTCAGGCCAGGTACTCGAGTGGAATCCAGATGGGAAACGATGAGTTGGTCGTCGGAGGTGAGGGTGACATGGAGGAGATGATGTGAGGAGGAAATGAGAGCTTGTGGGCAGTCTGATGCCAGGTTGAAAAGACTGCAGAGAAGAGAGTGTAATGGAGGTGTGCTACTGAACCCTTACGTTTCCCCGGGAACTCAAGGGAGAAATAAATAAATAAATGATAATATATAATGAGACACCACATCGACCTGACTTTGTAGGATCATAGAATGATTTGTGATTCTCTTAAATGGCATAAAGGAAAAATATGTTGATTCAGTGATATGCTTTATCTTTGCTAGGATTTTGATAAACATGATCTAACTTTTTTATCAGTTTTCAATTCATGAATGAGCGAAGACTGAAGTGTCTCAAATGACGTAGATTTCTACTGTCATTCTTGTGATGTTACGTTCAACCAAGACACTGAGAATGAAAAAGGATATAATGATGAGGATTTGTCTAAAAAATAAAGTAAGTAAACTAACCGGTTTCATAATCCATCGTTGATTTTGCCCCTCCTCATTCCATACTTTTTTCAATTCATCCAAGTCTCCGGGTAGACAGTATGTTTGTGGCATGAAATTGAAATGATCTCTTCCGTGTTTTACTTGCATATGAACTATATTCCGCCAAAGGCGATCTTTCCGACCAAGTTGAAATGAACAAGGTAAATGATTCACCTGAACATAACAAGTTATATGAGAAAATGAAGTTCAGTGTGAACTGCAATAAATTATGATTAAATTGTATAGCGATAAGGCATAATAGTGCAGCTTAATGGTTTTGTGTGAATTTTTGCCCTGAACTATGAATCATACCTAATGTCGGGAGTAACTATATGGGTAATTCTGGCAAACTACTGAAATCACCAATTAGCTTTGTCTAGATTATCAAGAAACTATCCATCCATCCATCCATCCATCTGGAATGGAGAAACCTGGTTGGTTATTCCAGTGGTAGTCAAGATGGTCTTTAGATTCCCTTTAACATCGGCCACTAAACGGTGTGATATCATGATTCAACGGTTAGCAGTTTATGTATTTAAGCATACGACTGAGGGAACCAATTAGCTTGAAACTATGTTTGGATACACCTTAAAGTCGCATAGAAAATTATGACTCCGAGGTTACCCGATTTTCATATGGTGTTCTCACAGAGAAGAAATCTCTAGATTTTCCATGGAAAAAACCTTCATATCTACTGATATCAGGCTACTGTAAAGACACTAAGTTAAAGGGATGTAACTACAAACAAACATCCGACGGTATAAAGACAGTATACATTCTAATTCGCTAATTTACTTTTTCCATCTTTTAACTGATTATTTTTTATTGTGGGATAACAATACCATTGTCATTAAGGTGGAACAAAATATTATGTGTTCTTTTGAGTGATGACCTAAGGATCTCGTAATTATTCAGTCAGTAGATCGCTATTCATTCATTGTTTCCTAGTGGAAATGTTCATTAAAATATGAACCTCAGTTTGATATTTTGCCACAGTATTAGCTGTAACCAGTTAGCCAATATGTAAACGTTTAAGAAGACGACTTTGTTGACCATCGCAGTGCCAAAGAACCTTGAGACACATGACAGCATGATCGGAATGCATATAAGTACCCTCTATAAGGAATGATGATATTGCACACGGAGGCAGGAACAACAACTGATTTCAGGTGAGATTTTTCTTAGTTATGTAGGGAAGATATCAAGAAGAGCTATGTTAGATAATGATGATTTCCATACAAGTTCATGATAGGCAGGTGAATAGTTTTTAACTGTCCTGCCGAACGTACTTTCATAAGCACGTGTAGAAAAACGTGTACGGCTAATCACTCCTTTAACTGTTTCCCCTTAGATGATATTAACACATAATGAAAATTTTCTTTTATATCATTTTCACCTTGAACAATTTTTAAAGATTTTAATTGACAATGCATTGTGGTTTCTTGAAACAATTTATTTACCATCTATGTCAATTTTACTTTACAACAGTCTGATTGTATAATTACTCTAAGGACAATTGACTGAAAGTATAATATTCTTACCTTTTGATACATCTTAATTGTACGAAATACCTGGGGATGAATATGTTTACCAAAATAAAATATCCAATCAGATGATTCTGAAAGATAATTGTGAAGAAAAAAAAAGCAAACATGAATTCTTTCGTTAAAATATTCAGTTTACGACAAAATACATTTTTACTAGTAAATACGGTGTGTATGCCCTGAATAAAACTAACGTTCTTATAAGCATAAACTTTTTATGAGTATAGACTATAACAAACCTCGTTTGGTTAACTAGTTCATTAATTACTAGCCAGTCAGTCCTAAGCCCGAGTAAAGAGGGAAGGTTTGGCATAGGGCTAGCAACTCTACCACGGAAAACCAATCCAATCGCTAGAGAAACTTCAAAGCATAAAGAAAATATAAAACACAAAAACAAACTTATTTCTCACTGGAATCGGAGAGACGAAATGAAAGCCTTCGAAAAGCCGATTGGCTGATGTGTCTTCCCTCAATAAAAGCGAAAGCAAGGCATAGACGAGGATGTCAAAACCAGTCAAGATAGGAAAGATAGCAAGACAGGATCTCATTAATCTGAAATAATCATTGTGCAGATCAACTGCACTCAGCATAAAACATGAACAACATCCGGATTTTCAACACAAACGTCAATCAAGTCAGTGCTGCTTCACGATGATTCAGAAACTTGGCGTGTCACGAAAAGCATTCGCATTCATCAACAGCTGACGCCCACGCTCGCTCGATACTGAAGACCAGATGGCCAGAAGGAATAAGAAAAAGCAACAAGGAACTCTGGCTGGCTGACTGGCAACAAACCAACCAAAAACCTATCACCCAACGTGTATGTGGAAGAAAGTGAAGATGGATTGGATTGAGCATACAGTGAGAAGACCGACTGGGGACATCATGCGTCAGGCCAGGTACTCGAGTGGAATCCAGATGGGAAACGATGAGTTGGTCGTCGGAGGTGAGGATGACATGGAGGAGATTGTGTGAGGAGGAAATGAAAGCTTGAGGGCAGTCGTGTTGCCAGGTTGAAAAGACTGCAGAGAAGAGAGTGTAATGGAGGCGTGCTACTGAACCCCAATGTTCGACTACGAATCCAAGGGAAAAAGAAATAATAATGGACTATAACATAGAGTAAAGGTTATTTACATACATGTCGTGTAAAACATTGTCGCTTAATAGCAACCCTCTAAATAAACCTCTACCACCAAAATTACGCTCCCATTCCTGTTAATTCTTCATTATGGACCGGATGCCCATCCAGAACTAGCTGACTAGTTCATATTATTGCCTTCAATTCAATACTGTTATTATTAACATTATTCAGATGCAGTAACCGTTTCGTCTGAAAGTATTGTTCTCGGAGTGAATATGTTGAAAAATTACATGCTGAGAATTGCATACTGTCATCATACATATTGTTTGGAATAAAGCGAGTATTATTACTAACTACGGTGATTGCCATCTAGTTGGGAATCTAAACTTATAAATGCAAGACATAAAGTTCTAAGAGAAGTCATGGAGCATACCAAGTCAGACATGAGGACATGCTCAACGACGGTATTGGATGAACATCGTGCTAGATAAATGTAGACTATTAGATTAAGACCAAGTGATTTAATGGAAACATGCTCATCGCGAAAACGTGAAGGTCCTTAGCGTGGTTGTAGGTGTGCATAGCTGAGGAGTTCTATATCAGTATGAAACAGCTCTCTGGTGTTCCTAGACCTTTATTGATTTCACAAATTTCAAAGCAGTAAAACATAAAAAAGTGCTTAAATGCATTAATTTACTGTTCAGATTATTTGGAATTCTAATATTTCACTGATAACAGTGTGACAGTGATTTTATATAACAAAAATATTCTCTGTCTTAAAAGTATAGCTGAAAAAAGATTAACTACTGCTGTAATGATCACTGTTTCAAAGTAGATAACAACTGAAATTTGCTTTCAGCTGTAATTTATATGGATGTATGAAAAAATGTCATATTTCCAGTGAAATAATTAATTATAGTGCTAGGTGGAGATAGTTATTATTACTATCATTTATTATTTACCCCATGGGTTCCTAGTGGAACATAAGGGTTCAGTAGCACGCCTCCATTACACTCTCTTCTCTGCAGTCTTTTCAACCTGGCAACACGACTGCCCTCAAGCTTTCATTTCTTTCTCACACAATCTCCTCCATATCATCCTCACCTCCGACGCCCAACTCATCGTTTCCCATCTGAATTCCACTCGAGTACCTGGCCTGACGCATGATGTCCCCAGTCGGTCTTCTCACTGTATGCTCAATCCAATCCATCTTCACTTTCTTCAGCATACACGTTGGGTGATAGGTTTTTGGTTGGTTTGTTGCCAGTCAGTCAGCCAGCCAGCCGGAGTTCTTTGTTGCTTTTTCTTATTCCTTCTGGCCACCTGATCTTCAGTATCGAGCGAGCGTGGGCGTCAGCTGTTGATGAATGTCTGTAGTTTGTTGTGAGTGCTTTTCGTGAAACGCCAAGTTTCTGAATCATCATAAAGCAGCACTAACTTGATTGACGTTTGTGTTGAAAATCCGGATGTTGTTCATGTTTTATGCTGAGTGCAGTTTATCTCCACAATGATTATTTCAGATTAATGAGATCCTGTCTTGTTGTCTTTCTGATCGTGGTTTTGACATCCTCGTCTATGCCGCCTGTAGTTGAAAACGATGCTTTCTAGATAGGTGAAAGAGGCTACTTCATTTAAGTTTCTCCCATTGATGGTGGTTGGAGTTTGTTGTTGTTGTTGGTGGTGGTGGTATTGGTTGGGTATCTTCATCACCTCCGTCTTCTCCACGTTCACCTGAAGGAATTCGCATGTTCGCTGCCTCGCCTGCTCTATCAACTTGTTAGTTTTCGCCTGTAGATCTTCGAGTTTATGCCACAAGACATCAGACATAAATCATCATTGGTGGCGAAATTCAAATCTTCTAGGCTCTTTTCATCGGTCCAGACAGTGTATGCCCACCTTCTCGCTCCTCACTGTTTGCTGAGTGATCCAGTCGACCACAATCATGAATATCATGGGTGATAGTAGACAGCCTTGTCTTACTCCTGTCTTCACTTGAAAGGCGTCACTGAGCTTTCCGTTGTAGATCACTTGGTATATGGCCTTTTCATATAACTGTTGAATTACCTCGACCACAGTCAGGATTATCATGGAGGATAGTAGGCGACCTTGTTTTACTCCTACTCCTGCCTTCACTTCAAAAGCATCACTGAGCTTCTCATTGTGAATTATTTGGCATGTGGATGAGGCTGATAAAGGTTTGTGGTATTCTGTAGTGTTGAAGCAACTGACAAATTACCTCTCGGTCGATACTGTCAAAAGCTTTCTCAAAGTCGATGAAGTTGAGGTAGAGAGTTGACTACCATTCTAAGATGATGCGAAGCGTTGCAATTTGGTCCGGACATGATTTGTACTTCCTGAAGCTACAGTACATATCATGGGACAAATATTTGTTCACTTTGTCAAATAGAAAGACAATATTATAGTCATTTTCTGTTGTCATGAGATCAAGACAAATTCAGAAATGCAGAAACACTGACGTAAATAAAAAACACAAAAAGTGGATTGATTTCAGTAGCTGCTGATACACTTCAAAAGTCTCACTTGACCAATCCAAGACGGATGTAACACTATCACAGTTAGTTTTAAGCAAACACAAAAGATTCATTAATAATTAACAAAATAAAGCTAAGAACTGTCATGTTATAATCAAAATCCTAAGAGTAGTTTATTCATGTCCAGCTAAAATAGGTTTAGACAGTTCTAATCATCTGAGAAAGTCAAATCGAAATCCATTCAAGTAACCATGAGCACGTTCGTGCAGTAGGAAATGAATCACACTTATTGTGTGCAAGGGATAATGATACTACCTAGCTGCCTGGAATGGTGCGCCAACCCACAATCACTAGTTGAAAGTCTCTTCTCTAAACTAATGAGCCACAACTCGCTTCTTTCTGAGAAATTAGCTAGGGTACTCAGGAATTGGCATATTCAGTCACCTAAATATCATTAGAATACTCATTTGATAAAATAATGTAATGGATCATCATCATGATTAGAAGATGATTACCATTTACTCCAATCAGTCAGTCAATATCAAAACAGAATTTGACATTAGTGCGTAGCGGTCCAAGTTGTCACACTTTATACCACCATATCAATGGAGATGAAGGATAGAGAAATAACTGCAAAATCTTGTGGATATACTATGCCTAGAACCTTCTCGATTTGTTTGCAAGTCCAATGTAACTAACAATAAACTCGCCGGTATGACAAGTTATTTATTCCATATGTGTATAAGACAGCATAGCCTACACTTAGACTCTTTGTAGGTATTCGTAAATGTACCAATGAATAAGGTTTTATTGAGTAAGACAATAGAAAGATAATTTATATTATTCAGATAGTCGATATCAGTGTGGAAACTAGCATCAGCATATTGAGGTACAATGCAACAAGATAAAAGGTACATATATAAGGAAGGAAGCAACTAAAAGTAGTCGAAAATCATAAGAAGACAGTAGAAGCGAGCGAGACAATGACAAAAGTCAGTATAACGATTGAGATGAAGATAATGCATCGATGTATTTGCGCCGCTCTGGTCGATTTTGAGTCGTATCACCTAGCGTCTTAAGCCTTAGACAGATAGACGGACAGAAAAATCAACGTAGAACCTTGCACACATAAGTGTCACAATTCACAGTAGTATACAAAGAACAGGTGGATAGAAAAAGAGTGATATCAAAGTGAACAAAGTTGTGTGAGAGAATACACAACTTGAAGATAACGGTCACGCAAATATTCAAGCTTTAGACGGTGTCGACGAGTGAATACATCTGCACCACTGTGACCGATTTTCAATCATGTCACTAAGACTTCTCAGCTAATGGTTCCTATTATATCCGGGACACCAGTAGGATAGTCTAAATATCTCTGCACGACTCAGACCAACAGTCAGGGACTTCATCAACTGGTACCAAGTTTTTCGTCTCGCCACCCCGAATTCTTTTCCCACCTAATCCAACTTCCTTCTCTAGCATTGTACGTCGAGGTAGG